TACAATTCTTTGCTTTATATTTCTGACTCACTCTGATGTGTTACTATATTTGTGAGCCAAACATATGAAGGATATTAAAAACGTGTAAACAATTTGACTCCGAGAGTCAAACTTTGAGGAGTCTGCTCTATACAATTACCTCTCTCTTCATATGACATACGTTTTCATACTTTTTATATGACCTCCCTCCCCTATGCGTGCGTGCGTATTTTGTGAATAACGCGTTATACTAAAATTCCCTGGTATTTATCATATACTGTATTTTAATGAAAATACTAGTAATATACAGTATTGTTTACCAGTTTATTATGAGCCTAGTATCTAGATTATACAACCTTGGTAGTGTGTGACATACCTGGGCGGGCTCGGAGCGCCTGTACGGCGAGTTAAACAAAATCAAATCCACGCTATGTTTGAGTCGCGTCTGAATGGCTTGAGTCAAGTCGTTGCGCACCAGTTGTACCGTACAGTCGGTGATGCCATTCACTTGACAGCACTTCTGTGTAGTGGTCAGCGCCCGGGGGTTGAAGTCCGTAGCCCTTAGAGTAACAGATTATACGATATTTATGTTTATATATGTGTGTATCCCTTTTATTAACACACAAGGGTCAGTTCAATAAGTGCGTACGCTATTTTTTATAGGCTAGTCGTACGCACTTTTTGAGTGTGACCCACACTACATACAAATATAGCCGAGTGGTGGGACCCAAGCATTTAGCCAATGATGTGATGGCGGCGCCCGACCCGCAGCCCACCTCCAGACATACTAATGGACTGTAAATGAAAATGTTTTGTTTGAAATTGTCATCAAAATATTGGGTAAATTTAACAATAATTTAATTTTTTAATAATATAGTTGCTTCGTAGAATCTAGCACATTTGTTACATAAAATTTGTTATGAATATTTTATATAATAAATTTTAAAAATAACGTAACAATTAAGTGGTTTTTATGTGATAGCTCGAATTGAACATTAAAATTATAATATCAAGTTTTAAACAAGTAACATTCTGTAATATTCATATTAACATATGTTTAATTAATTAGCGATAATACAGTATACGATTTCTCTATTTATAAGCTTGCTTATTAGTAAATATTAAAACATTCAATACAAAGTTTCTGTATTCATAAGCTTATAATCAAATACTAAAAACATTTCAAAAAATATTTAGTTCTTAATAAATTATGATTAAAATGTAAAACTATTATAATATATTATACATAATGGTTTTGAGTTGCACGAAACTTATTTTAAATAAGTAAATGTGTTATGAATTTATAAAATTTCTCAAAAATCAAGTCAATATATTTATACAAAGTTATTGATACTCTTGGGTGCGATTTTAAAATATATTTCTAAAACTTTTAAAAATTATTTACTCATAGTCTTTAATGAGCTGTATATCCTGGGCCACCGAATCGATGAGCGCATACGTGTCCTCTTGGGGTTCGTAGATATACTCGAAGTCCTCGGCGAACATGTGCTCCGGGAATATGGGTCTCTCCATAGCCCCCAACTCTTACAATATGTTATACAACTTAAATGACACGTAGTTTTAAAAAGTTATAATTACCTGAATATAATACAGTGCATGCATGAATATTTATAGACATTT